CAGGGCACCCCAGACATGGGGCCCTGCCGGAATTGGCATTTTCTGAACGAAGTTCAGCGCCTTGTCGAGTTCTCCCGTTCGACCAAGAAGATCGACAACGATGCCGTAATGCTCCATGTTGGGTTCTATTCTGTATTCATTCAACATCATGTTGAATATCTTGATCCCTTCTTCAATCAAACCGGCATGGCTACAAGCAGATAACAATGAGAGAAATGTTACTTCATTAGCCATAACTTCTGATGTCTCTCTCATTTTGTGGAACAGTTTCAAAGCTTCTCTTCCTTGTCCCTGGATTCCATAACCTGCAATGATCGCAGACCAGGTAACAATGTCTTTTACTTTCATTTCTTCAAATACTTTCATGGCATTGACTGTGCTGCCACATTTTGAATACAGCTCTATAAGCGAAGCTCCTACGAAAATGTTATTGGTGAAGCCACTTTTAACAACATAGTCATGGAGGCAAAGTGCTTGTTGGAGAATGCCCAAATCTGAACAAGAAGCAAGAATTTTCACTATGGCAACAGCATCAGGTTTTATGTTGTTCAACAGCATCGTATTGAAGGTTCCCATTGATTTGGAGGACATTCCATTCAGGGAATATCCACTCAGTAAGGCAGCCCAAGAAACCACATCTTTTTTGGGCATTTTTTCAAACACCACAAGGGCTTCTTCAGGTGAAAAACACTTCATGTACATATCAATTAGAGCTGTGGAAACTGAAATATCCAACTCCAAACCTTTCCTGGTAACAAGTTCGTGGATCTTCTTTCCCTCTTCTAAGTTACATGCAACTGCACATGCTTGTAATGCACCAATCACTGTAACTGAATTGAATTTGATTTTCTGATCAATCATCTTGTTGAACAGGTTTAGTGCTTCAGCTGCTGCGCCATTGTGAGCATAACAAGCAATTAAGGAGCTCCATGAAATCACATCTTTTATTGGCATTTTCTCGAACAAATTGGCTGCAGCTTTTACAGACCCCGTCTTCGTATATAGATTCAACAACGAGTTCGCCAAGGATAAGTCATAATCCAGGTTTCGTCTGGTTATAAAGCCATGTATGCTACTTCCGAGCTTCGAATTCGACAGTTGAGTACAAGCCGATGCTAAGCTGACAAGCGTGACAGGGTCAGGATTTACATGCTCGATCATTACCATTTGAGAGAAAAAATCAACCGACTTCTTAGGATTTCCATTCTGCTCATATCCTGTGATCATTGAAGTCCATAAAACTACATCTGGTTGAGGAAATTCCAAGAAAACTTGAAGTGCCTCGTGCATTTTTCCACATTTCGAGTACAGTTCGATCAATGCAGCCCCAACAAACATGTCAAGGTCAGTTTTCTCATTTTTCTTGATGAACCCATGAACTGTCTTTCCAAATTTAAGTGCCTGCAACCCTGCGCAGGCCTTTAAAACTATAGGAATGGTGAAATTATCGGGTTTCCCATTTGAAATTCCATGAGATACCATGTCATTAAAGAGATATAAAGTCTGTCCCCATTGTTTCTCTTTGCAGTAGCTTCTAAGAAGAGCATTCCAGAGGTGTACTGTTTTGCTCGGCGTTTCTTCGAACACCTTATGTGCTTGCACGAGAGAGGTGTATTTTCCATGCAGTGCACTAAGTTTGGTGGCGAAGAAAGTATCATGAGCAAGGCCAATTTTGAGCGTATAACATTGCAATTCAGCTAGAATTTTGCTACACTTACATTTTTCAAACAGCTTCACTAACTGATCCCTGCTTTTCATGTATATGATTTGCAAGCTGCAGTGTTACAGAAAGACGCCAATTAGCAAATGTGAAGTCTTCGGTTTGTGGATAATCATCAAATGTTCTTCTTAGCTTATCGCGAGTCTGGACTCGCCGTCGTTGAAATCGCGCCGCTCAGCGCGAAACGGCGAGGGACGCGTCGTTCACGTAGCTTGCTGTTGCCGTGGAGCTCGCCGTCGTCGCTTAAGGCTAGCCGGAGTTGAGTGTAGCAGACGCCGTCTACACGCTTGGGTCGTTGCTTAAGGTGTCACCGGAATTCGAACTGCCGACGAGGAGCAATAATTACAGACGCTCGAACCTGCCGAAACCACCGCACACGCCGCCTCCGTATGTGGTTGCTACTCGCGAGGGAGAGCGAAATGGTAACGCACCGTCGCGCGCTGTGCTTGTGGTCGCTAACGATCGTCGAAGGAGAAAGAAGGTCGGGAGAGGTAGCGGTGCTGGCGGCTGAGTAGGGTTGAATTGGATTAGTATCGCCGTTAAAAAAAATGGTAAAAATTGGTTGGTTAAAATTGATATAACCTTTCTTTTTTTTTTTTTTTTTTAACTTTTCTAGTCACAATACTTGGATTGAAGAGGTTTTAAGGAGATGTAATGTGAAATGAGCATATGGAATGAGTTTCATAGGTCTCCGTCCTAAATTCATACATGTCGTAGTGACAAAAATTTAGTCGGTTCAGCTAAGATCAAATTCTTTAGCTTAGATATAGTTCAATAGTTTCTCAACTTCAACTTAAAACTTTCAGACATGAGGTGCTGAAGGAAACTCTAGTGGGAGTTCATGTAGACACAAGATGCTGAGGGAAACTCTAGTGGGAGTTCACGTAGACACGAGGTGTTGAGGGAAACTCTAGTGGGAGTTCATGTAGAACGAGGTGTTGAGGAAAATCCTAGTGGGAGTTCACGTAGATACGAGGTGCTGAGGGAAACCTTAGTGGGAGTTCACGTCGACACGAGGTGTTGAGGAAAACCCTAGTGGGCGTTCATGAAGACACGAGGTGCTGAAGGAAACACTAGTGGGAGTACACATAGATACGAGGTACTAAGAAAAATCTTAATTGGAGGTTTACGTAGATACGAGATGCTAAAGGAAACTCTAGTGAAAATCCACGTAGGCACTCGAGCCATACCAATTACAAGATAGATGCTCCAATAAGTTCGAGAAAACGAAGTTATAGCACAATAATTTGAATGATTGGTGAGGGTTGGGAAGATGTAGAATAATAATCAAATCACGTATTCACCGACACTTCCTTTTCACATACCAAATAATGGAACACTCCTTCTACCTTCTTCTTTCCCTTCTCTCTTTTTCATTTTCATGCTCCCATTTTTGTCTCTTTTTCCCATCCAATTCTTATTCCACTATATAATAATAATAACAATAATAATTCAATAAATGAATAATAATAATAATTTTTAAGTTAAAAAATAATATAAAATATCCTTTAACTCGTAATCTGCTTCTAGAAAATCTTCATTCTTTTTTCAACTCGGTTGGTTGTATTTTACTGATTGTCAATGCTTTGAACTTTGAGGATAAAAGAATAATTTTTCATTTCTTTTTCATGAAGATTGTATTTTTTCCTCAAGATTATATCTTTGATCTCTTCAAATTCATACCAATTAAAGTCAAAAGTTTCCATTCACTAATAATAATAATAATAATAATAATAATAATAATAATAATAATAATAATAATAATAATAAAATGAAAATTTTGAGAGAGAGAGAGAAAAAAAGAGGAGGTGGTTAAATTGAATTAAAATATTATAATTGAAAATGTCAAATTGATATTTTTTAGTTTCATTATTATTATCAAAATATTAGAATTTAAAGGGAATTAATTTGTTCAATTTTATCATGCATAAAATAAAAGGAAAAAACAAATATATTTGATGAAATTACAAGTTTATCCCTGTCTAATATATCTTTTAACTTAAAAATTATAAATTTTTTATATATATTTTTTAATCTCACCAAAAAAAAAAGGATAAATTTCTAAATTTCTAAATTAGCATAAAATTATTCAAAAAGTCACAAGGTTGGTTAGGAAAGCTAATAATTGATTTTACATAAAAGTTCTAAAGTTTGTCGACCGACGTGACGTCATGTCGTTCAATAAAATTAGATTTTTTAGACATGTCGTCCCAGGTTCTAAACATGTCGGTGTGTCTTAGTCAATGTTTTACATAGAGCCACGTGCCAAATTATTTCACATATTTTATAAGTAATAATTAAATTTAATAATATTATTATGATATATTTATTATAAAGAATGTCAGATTTGACCAGGCTCAATATTCGCCTATCGAAAATAAATATATTTTTTTAAATTTAATAGAAAAGTCTAAGTTATTTAATAATAATAATACTAAATATATATTTGTATCTTTTAAAATTATTTAGGTATTATATTATTTTAATTTCATATTTTTTTTATTTTCTGGGATAAATAAATAGTCATAGTAAAAAGTAAAAAGTTGCATTATTTTAATTTCTATCGAAAAATGTATTTTAACCTTAAATTTAAATTTAGCTTTTGAAGGTATGTAACTTTAATTTGTTTACTTCAAATAATTAAATTTACTCATTAATAAGGTATTAAAAAAACTAAATATGTGTTTTAGTCAATGTAATATAACGTTTTAAATTAATTATAAGTAAGTTATGGGTTCACGAATGAATTAAGACGATTCGCATTAGAAGAATAGTGACAATGATTGCAAGCAGAGAAACCGAGGGTTAGACAAGACAAGATAAGCTTCGTTAAGTACCAAGCTGAACACGATGCAAGTCTTTATAGGGAAACGACACTACTGTAGAGAGGCAGCTGAGTTTAAGTGGGAAAGAGCCCGAGTGAATATGCTCCAGGTGTATTGTGTATTTCTTCAGTCACCACCTCGTGCCTAAAATGGATGATTTTACAAGAGTATCGAGATCAGTGATATGCTCAAGTCAATATTAAAAATAAAAAATAAGAAATAAATAGCCACGCTGACCTTAAAAATCTATTAGATTTTTTTAAAAAAATTAACGAACAATTAAATATATAATGGAAATTTTAAATACCCATTGAACCATTTTTAAAATTAAAATTTTTAAGAATTTATTATAAAAAAAAAATTAAGAACACAACTACAAATAAAAAAAAAAAAAAAAAAAATTATTGGGAAGGAAGTTTGAGCTAAGCAAAAGACACTCGTGTCCTTTTTCTTTTTCATAGCAATTTTTCAGCAGTTCTCAGCGGCGCAGATCTTGTCCTTATCCGTGCATCCGGATTTCCCTTCAAACCCCATCATCTCTTTTCTCTCTCTCTCTCTCTCTCTGTTTTAATTCTTCAATTTTTGTATTCAAAGTCAAATCACGGCCGCTGGTACAGTAACAATAACTCAAAAACTCTTTTGCAGCTTTAAATTGCAGATGGCAACCGCATTCACTTCCATAGCCGGAGAAGCATCAATTTCACAGCTCAATTTTGGTTGCTCGCCTTCATTTTCATTGCTATGCTCCATTTCCGTTGAGAGCTACCTTAATTTGCTACATCCCCTGCTTCTGACACTAACTTTTTTTCTGATTTCTTTTAGTTTTTTCCCCTAATCTATTCACCAATTTCCCCAATTTTATATTTTGGGGCTGCTGGATTTGCGCTTTCCTACATGTGGAGGAGTATATTCTTTCCCCACCAAGCACAAGAATCCGTTCAATTTCTGGATCGGGAGCGGGATTTTAGGGACGGGTCTGTACAGAATCAAATATGGGGTTTTTTAGTTTTTTTTGTTGTTGGTTTCGTACTTTGTTCGTACCTTTGAACCTCTGATGGGTCTTTTTTGGGAACGATTCATTTGTGTGGATTGAGAGAAGAAGGAAGTAACGAAGTGCACAGAAGGTGTTTGATAAAAGTCCTGAGTGAAGATATGGGTTCTGATAATAGGTTCTATTCCACTGATGAATTCTATTTGGATGCCAAATGGTTGATTGATCCTAGACATCTTTTTGTTGGGCCGAAGATTGGGGAAGGTGCCCATGCTAAGGTGTATGAGGGAAAGTACGTTTATGGGTTTTTCTGTGTCTTTGTCTGTCTGAAATCAGATATATTATAGTCCTCTCCATCTCTCTCTCTCTCCTCTAAATTCTGTCTCTTTCTCTCTTCTCTCAGATACAAAACTCAGATTGTAGCTATCAAAATAGTGGGCAAAGGAGATACTCCTGAGAGGATGGTCAGAAGAGCAGCTCGGTTTGCCAGAGAGGTAGCAATGTTGTCCAAAGTGCAGCACAAGAACTTAGTGAAGGCAATGATCAATTCTACTTTTGGAACTTTTGCTTCTTTTTATCACGTTTTTTAGTGTCTCTCAGGTTCTAACAGAGCTTCTTGATTGATGTTCTTCCTTCTGTTTTTTTTTTTTTTTTTTTTTTTTTTTTTTTTTTTTTTTTTTTTTTTTTTTTTTTTTTTTTTTTTTTTTTTTTTTTTTNTTTTTTTTTTTTTTTTTTTTTTTTTTTTTTTTTTTTTTTTTTTTTTCAGTTTATTGGCGCTTGCAAGGAACCTGTGATGGTTATAGTGACTGAATTGCTCACAGGCGGCACATTGCGTAAATATCTATTGAATTTGAGGCCAATGAGCATGAAACTTAATGTGGCGATTGGGTTTGCGCTTGATATTGCTCGTGCAATGGAGTGTTTACACTCACATGGAATTATTCACCGTGACCTTAAACCAGGTACAGTGATTTACTATGCTCTTTGGACTCTGGTAGATGCCACTTCCATGCCATTTACTTATCTTTGGACTCTTTGGACTCTGGTAGTGTATACATTTTAAAAATATTGAGGAAAACTCAAAAAGGACCATATATGTTAACGGTGGGCTTGGGCATTAGAATTGAAGATTTGTGAAGTGGGAATCTAAAACATTTCTTGGGTGTGAATTCAACATGACCCTTCATTCACACCATGAAAGGTTCAAAATTGTTTCAAATTTGTCTTATAATATGATTGCCAAAACAAATATAAACTGTGTTACTGAATACAGTTTCGATGTACGTAGCTGAGATAAGAGAACCTGTTGGATCGACAAACGCATACCTGAAAAATATTTACGACATGTTGAACCTACAGCATTCGAGTGAAATTTTTTCAAGTTTATATGTATCTCTAATGAGACTCCTTTGTTGCAGAAAACTTGATATTGAGTGCAGATCATAAAACAGTTAAGCTTGCTGATTTTGGTTTGGCAAGAGAAGAATCGGTAACAGAGATGATGACTGCAGAAACAGGAACATATAGATGGATGGCTCCAGAGGTGCTTCTTGTTTGAATATTTAGTTCTTATACATTTCATTGCTGCCTCTTATACATTTCTTCTTCTTCTTCTTCTTTGTATTGTTTGGTGGCAGCTCTATAGCACAGTCACTTTAAAACATGGAGATAAAAAGCATTATAATCATAAAGTTGATGTATACAGCTTTGCCATTGTCTTGTGGGAGCTCATCCTTAACAGGTTGCCTTTCGAAGGCATGTCGAATTTACAGGCAGCATATGCAGCGGCTTTTAAGGTAAGCATGTCGTTACAAATGGGAACGTCTTATAATATTCCTATGAGCAGAATTGGATATAATCCACTTGTAATTTGATTGAAGAACTGTTTCTACAACAATTTGAAGCCTTTTACATGAAATGCATGACTAGATAAGTACTTACAGCCAATTGTATGCAAATGAACAATCTAGCCTTCCAAATATCCTGTTTTGAATCATAGCTTTGTTGTTTTCAGAACATGAGGCCCAGTGCTGAAAACCTTCCAGAGGACTTAGCTTTATTAGTGACATCATGTTGGAGAGAGGATCCAAATACAAGGCCAAACTTTAGCCAGATTATACAGATGCTATTGCAGTCCCTGGCTAGAATATCACCTCGAGAACCCGTAATCCCGCCTCGGATATGTGCTTCTGAAAATGTCATGATGCCACCTGAATCTCCCGGTACAGATTCCTTGATGGCTGTCCGACATGGCTCAGGGGAAGCCTCACACGGCATGATAGAAGAAACCCCTAAAAGCTCCTTCTTCTGCTTTAACAAGTGTTACTGATCCAATATAGAAGAAAACCCTAAAAAAGCACAGCTTGACTTTAGTTGTAGTTCTATGAGAATACCCAATAAGCCAATCCAGGAAATGTAACAGAATTTGGGATTGCTGTCATGGCACCCATCTGTCTAACAATCAAGAATCTTGGCATGTAGTGTTTCTGAGCTCTGTTGAGAAATAGATAATGAGAAATTCACTGATCATAGTGGTTGTAAATAAATCTTGAACCCTTTTGTGTTTAACTAACTGATATGGCTGTCTGCCTTCCTTGCAATAGTGTGCCTAAGCAAGCCTGTATACTGGAACACCCTATATTTACAACTTAAAGCAACATCAAGAATCATAGAGAGGAAGCACAAGGAAGACCCCACAAAATAAAATATTCATGACATGAACATCGACATTTCTATGAAATTAAGATCACTAAATTCCTTTCAATATCGACAATGAACTAAGTCTACAAGCATAAGGGTTTGCTATCTACTTTCACAACTAGGCTACACTTCGGTGATTTCATAGGATTCATAGTAAGATCTTACAAATGGAAGGTCCTTGGCTCCTGTTTCTCTTCGATGCTCGAATCGTTACTCGTCGCACAGTGAGGCCATGAGCTCACGTGGTGAAGCCCAGATGGGAAGATCAATTAGACGCTGTTTCAATTGGTTTTCTTCCGTCATGCACAATGATTCGGCTATATCACAAAGCTTTGAAACATTACGAATGATGGCTTCCGGAGCTTCTACCTGCACAATTGAAACTTTAGATATCATTATTAGGATAGATAACCTATTTGATAATTGAGAAACTATTTTGTTTTGAACCACTGCGGCAGTCAGAGTCGAAAAAGAATATAGGACCAGGAAAAGGGTTCGAAAGGGTTTTCACTCACCCTAAGGCCAACTCTGGTAAACAACAGAATTCGCCTTCAATTTTCATAATCTTAAGCTTAACTCCAGGAGACGGCAAAAAATTGAAACTATTAAGTTATGAAGTTTCTACTCAGATACTAGAACCCAATATTTTCAATTTGAAGATATGTCTGACCATGTCTCAACTCTCCGAGTCCTTACCTTAAAAACAACTTTTGAGGAAAATGATCGAGATTTTCGAACAAATAGTGTCTGGCTATCTTTTGGGGTAAAGTGGTTGATAAATCCGAACAATATTTGGCGAAAAATGACAATTTTCTCTCCTGATCTCAGTCGGGGTAACAAATTGGACCTAGAATGGGGCAAAAACTTGGCCATGCAAGCGATTTCAGAACTGTGTGTTCTCTTAATCGAATATTTGACTTAGGATGGTGGGCCGTTCTAATAGATTTTCCAAATCTAAACCTCATACCACCGAAAGACGGAACGCCTTTTATCCGATGAATTTGTCAATCGAGTAGAGGAATGATTAGTTCTACACAGTTCCACCCAATCTGCAAAAAAGGGCAAACTGAACTGGGAATTCATATCTTATACATGAAATCTCACCAACGAATGATGAATTATGAGAAAATTGAGGAAATTCCTAAACAACTCAACACCTGAATCCGTAAAATTTCTATTCCTTGCGCCTTTATCCTAAATTATGACACAAGACCAGAATACCGATTTACCTGAGAGAGAAGATCTTCCACCATTGACGCGCACGAAAGCTCCTTGTGCTGAACTTCAGTCAACAAGGAAGCCTCCAGACGCGACGCCATACCTACTTCCCCTTCCTGTCGGTACTGTTCCTGTAGCTTCCGAGCCCTCTCCTCCATCGCCCGCAGGTTGCTCGACAAAACCTCCCACTGTTCAATCTCTTTCCGGTACTTCGCCCTAACTTTCAACAACGTCTTCCTCCTGCGCTCTCGCCGCCGATTCTCCTCCGCCTCAAGGTCCGCCGCCTGAGCCACCGACGAGCGAGCTGCCACAGCTTCCGCAGGGTCCAATCGGCGCCTCTTCCGCTTGTAGACGAATCCATCGTCGTTGCAAAGCTCCCAATCCTCTTGTTCAAGAGAGACTGTGGCTACGGCTGCTGCAATTGAATCCATGAAACCACCCGAGCGGGAAAAAAGAAACAAAGAGAAGAGAGAAACGGGCGGCTATCAATCAGTTTCAATTCCCTCAAATTTCGAAATCTGACGAAATTTGTGGCCGTCTGAGAGCGCGCGACTCCGCTATTTGGGCCTCAAGCCCAATTAACTTTCTATGGGCCTACAATTTCTTCGGCCCAATAAATTTCAAGCCTCGTTTATTAGATCCATTTAACATAAATATTAAATATATGAGATAATTAATAAATGTATTTAGATAAGTTAATGTTTAGTATACAAATTGAAATTAAATAGTTTTATAAAAAAAAATATTAAATTATTATTAATAAAGATTACTATATTTAATTAAATTAATTAGTTATATGTAAGGGAATAAATTCACATCATAAATTAAAAATAATATTATATTAAGCATTAATATGATGATAATTACCGTACAACTTAACTCTTAAATAGTTTCGTTAAAACTTATTTACTTAAATAAAAATTACCTCCAGTAAACTCAAACTTTAAATAGTTTAATTAATGCTCTTAAAAATGTTGCAAAATATTTTAAAATATTATTATTACGACAAATTGAAATAATCAATACTTCATTTAAAAAATACTCTTAAAATTTTAAGATTAACACATTAAACTTTTAACATAAATAACACATTTTTAAAATTTTAAATGAGTTCGTAAGAAATTATATATATTTTAAATATGTTAAAAGGGTTAAATTAATAAAAAAAAATCAGAAACTTTTGTATTTTATCTAAAAATATTATTATAGTTTGTATTATATTTAAAAAAAAACACCATGAAATCTTAAAAGTGGTATTATTTTTTAAAATTTACTAATATTTTTTTTTTAAAAAAATAAAGGTAATTTAAATTTCTTAAAAGAAGTAAAAATGTATTTTTTAAAAACTTTTTTGAATGTTTAAATATATTTTTTAAATGAAGTATTAATGAATAAGGATAGAAGTATTTTTAAATTTTTTTAAAGTTGAGGGTATTTTTGGATTTTGATATTATTTTGAAATTTTTTTAAAGTTTTAAAGATATTTTTAGATTAAAAAATATGTAAAAATTATTTTAATTTTAAATTTAGTATTGTTATAATTTACTAAAATATTTTTTAATATTATAATCGCAATCATGTAATTCCCTCAGCTGCAATCTCTCTCTAGAAACTTTAAAAAGGGGGGGAAATAATGTTCAGGGCATTGAATGAGAAACCCAGAAGCCCATTCTTCAGGTAGAATTAAAATTTATATATATATATATATATGTATGTATTTGTTTCCTTCATCGTTCATTCAACAGTCTGATCAGCGGTAGAAGAACAATAAAATCACTACTCCGATCATACTGAACAATGTCGTCGCTTGACATTGACGGAATTTTGGCGAACACGAAGGAGCTCGATCGCCTGCGGAAGGATCTGGAGGATGTTGTTCTTGAGATTAACAAGATGCACAAGAAACTCCTCGCTAGTGAGTATTCTTCAATTCTTAAACCTTTTGATCTGATCATGATTGTTTTCTTTTATGAGTTTGGTAGTTTGTTGATTTTTTTTTTTTTTTTTTTTTTTTTTTTTTTTTTTTTTTTTTTTTTTTNTTTTTTTTTTTTTTTTTTTTTTTTTTTTTTTTTTTTTTTTTTTTTTTTTTTTTGAGATCAAGCTGGTAGGAATTGGCCAAAATGTTCGATTCTTGCTCTCCTGCTGGTTTAATTAATTTCGTCTGTTGATGAGGCTATTGTTGAAATTCGGATTAGATGACAATAATCTAGAGAGCTATTGCATTCTGGAATTTTACTGGAAGTTACTTGATTTTTATTTATTTTTTTCTTTTTTGGAACAATACTTGAGCTTGTTAAGGCGCTATTGAGTGTTTGATGAAAAAAAATCCGAGGTTTCTGTTAATTTTGAATGCTATCGGCTCAATTTTAAGTGTATCGTGACAAAGAGACTGATTCAATGAGCTCAAAGGGTTAAAGCTGAAATAAGAGGAAACTTACTGAAAACGTTTCAGCAGTGGAAATACTTCCTTATCCGAAGCCTTTCCTTATAGCATTACGATGACAAGAGAAGACAATGTTAATTAGTTAAAACCACCCAGTTCCTTGAAAGAAAAAAATAACATTAATAAGAAATAAGAAAGAACAAGTTATTCAGAAATTAGAATAACTTACGAACTATAAGCCTCAACTATCTTAATTACCGAAGCTAAAGTAATTTATTGTTCCATCAATACCCACGGTGTCAAGAAAATCAAGGGCAAGTTTGTTGTTCGTTTTATATTTGTTCTAGATCTTTGACGTGTATATGGATTTGGAAGGCAAGGATGATAAACTCGGTAATTTTGATTAGTTTTTGGTTTGTTTACTAAAACAAAGAAGTATATAACCTTGGGGACTTTATTATCTCACTTTTTAGAGAGTTTTTTTTCTATTAGTGCTCGTCACCCTGTCTTCCTTCAAATTTCTGTTTTTAGCTGGTTTTCTCCTTAATATTTGATCGTGTGCAGCTCCTAAGGTGGTCGAGAAGCCTGGGGATAATTCATTGTCAAAACTGAAGCATTTATATACTCAAGCAAAACAACTTTCAGAGGATGAAGTGAGGTAGTTTTACTCTATTCTTACATGAAATTCATACTTCAGAGTTTGTTCACTTTATTCACCCACGCTGAAACTCAAACAGAACCTTAAACTCCAACTGAAAGAAAAGCATTTCTCAATGCCGTATAGCTTTCACACCAACTTTCGTTGATAAATAAGACCCCACAACCCAAAATCACATCATATAAAATCAGTATCTTTTTTAGCAATGTTTTATTTTTTGTAAGTTTGTGTGCGTTTAGATACATACGAATAGATATCATTTATCTACCCCAAGTGTGTCTGGATCATAGCTATTGCGCATGGCATTGAAGTCCATATTATTTTTTATTGCAGCGTTTCCACAACCTTATTGGGTCAACTTGAAACTTTGCTGCCTGCTGGACCTCCTGGGCAACCAAGGAGAAGGATAGGTATTTCCAAGAATTATTCAACTCTACTATGTTTTACTGATAACTTCCCCAAAAGATTTTTGATGCAGGCTAAGATATGTTATACACATTATCATGAAAAGAGGCCAATCATATTTTCCACTCTTCTGCTCCATTGACTTCTCTTGAAGTATTACGCTCTTGGATTAACCACAGGATAGAATTTATGTGTTCTTATAAGAACAAATCATAACTAGCAGAAGGCCACATTTGTTAATATCACAGTGGAGACGATAGGAATCTTGCTGATTTTATTGGAAACTTGAACACTAAATATGTTTTCTTTCCTTTGTTGTTCCTTCTTCTGAATCTTTCTTGATAGATGGTCAATTAATGTCAGCCCTTGAATTTAGTTGCCAAACGACTGTATATTATATTCCCTAATACCCATGGACATACTGATGGTGTCTGAAATGGAAATTTTGAGTTTCTATTCTCGAGGAAACTGTATGTCCTGTTCCACCCATTCTGATTACCAAACGCATTCATCCGTGTGGGTATGAGTCTACACTTGTGATTGCTGCAAATGGATAATAGGAGAAAGGAAATTAACTTTTATATTTATTTGCTAAATGTTTTCTCACCTTCAAGGCACCATGGGATGGGACCTCCTAGAATGGCATCTTAGATTTATTCATATGACTACGTATGCCTATCAACGACAAAACAGTCATTAATTCCCTACGATCCTTTCCCTTTTTAGCAAACAATCATTAGTTTATTACTGCTGATTCTCTTGTCAGATTTTGAAGAAATATTCTGAAGCGGTTATCTGTTTATTTATCAATTTGAATGTATATGGCAGATAAAGCAAAAAGAATGAAGGCAGATTCAGATAATGCTCGCCTTTCTCCTGCCATGAGAAACCTCGAGGCATGCGCCAACCTGAAAGATGAACAGGTCTGTATGTCGATGTCACTTTTTTTTGTTTATTTTATTTTATTTTATTTTTTTCTTTTGACTTTTAAAAAAACTAAAAGTAATTTAAATGCTTTGATTAATTTCAACCAAAGATAGCTGTATAGTTACCATCTTCTGTTATCTTCAGGTGGCAGCCAGGGTGACGCCAGATGGGGCTGAGAAGGATGAATGGTTTATTGTAAAAGTGATGCATTTTGATAAGGAGACAAAACTGTAAGTTGAATTATACTAGCAAGTTCTTAACAGCTAGGCATGTTGGAAATTAAGTTGAATTGTTATTTTTAATTGAAAAGAACAAAGAAAGAAACTGGTTAGTCATGGAAAACTCATATATCATCATTCCCATGTACTCAATAAGGTCAAATTTCAACATTTCCTTCTAACAGGCTTCTTCAATATTAGTAATCAGTGGCTAGTGTCGTCGTGTCAAATTCCCTTTTTCAGTGATGTATTTGTACTTGGTGAGATGGAAGATTGTCAAAGCATAGAAAGATATAGGGAACAAACATTTCAATAGTGCTCCTTGCTTTGTCATTCATTAGTGTTTTACATGTTTGATTATGTGCACAGTTTTGAGATCACTCTGGAGCTTAATTTGTGAATTTTTAGAACTAATCAAATAATTTTAAACATGGTTAAATGTTATAATCACATCTATACGATCTTGTTTCTAATAGGATTTTCTTGTCATGATTGTAGTTGTTAAAAAAAAATTGCGTAACATCATTTTGTGAGTACAAGTTCGACATTAATCTTGTTGCAGAGTCTCATGATTTATCTTTTATGGGGAAAGAAAGGAAGAAAAAAAGATCACCATAATGATTAAAACATTATACTTTTTCAGACACTAATCTCCTTTATGATATTTTAATATGTAATATAAACATGCACAGATTTGACGTACTAGATGAGGAGCCAGGCGATGAAGATGAAGGTGGAGGGCAGAGGTAAAGCTATTTGATTATATCCTCGCCCTTAACTTTCTTTCTGCACAATTATATAGATTGTGGTTAATTGGATAGTTTCTTCTCAGTTTCATGCTAATCAACCAATGTTTAATTCAATTTAATTTCAGAAAATACAAGTTACCAATGTCAGCCATCATTCCCTTTCCAAAACGAAATGATCCTTCTACTGTCCCTGATTTCCTACCTGGAAGACGAGTTTTAGCTGTTTATCCAGGCACAACCGCTCTTTATAGGGCAACAGTTGTCAATGGTCATCGCAAGGTCAGCATTTCATCTCTATACCTTCTTCTACCGTCATTGTCGCACAAAAAACTACCTCAATCCTCTAACTTCTAACCTTTATTATAATTTATGTGCAACTTACTGACAATTTCTTTTGGAATGGATGGCATCTTCACGCTTCTAGAGGAAGACAGACGAGTAAGTTACCTCGTTTCTTCTTTCTTTTTTCTTTTTTAAATTCATCGCTCCATGTCTACTCTGATTTTCCTCTCTTTGATGACCATCATGTTCTGATTCCTTTAACTTTCGATGTGAAATAGCCCAGTAGCCTTCCTTTGTTCCTAGCCATTAGATATGTATAGATATGTATAAAAAGTTCTTTCACCTCCTGAAATGAGCAAAGAACAAAAAGCCATGAGCACATCTTCTCATATGGAGAAAGGCTTTCTTAGCCGGTTCGTCAGTAGCTTAAAAGAACCTTCTTTCCTTTCTTTTTCCCGTTGGAATTCATTCCTCACTACTCCTTGCTGGTGAGCTTACTTCTATAGTACAAGGTGGGGACTTATATATTCTATGTCTTTTTGGTCTTCCTGTTCCTTCATCTGGCTTATGTTCTTCATGTAGTATTCGGATCGAATGACTCTATGAAATTATTTCGATACTTCCATATATTACTAGTAACGTAGGAGACGTCTCTATTTTTCCCCTCGAGAATCCTTAGAATTATCACTGCTTAGCTTTCAATTTGCCTCTACTATCAAATAAAATGTGAATAACCCATCTTCTTTTCTTTAAACAAGGGACGCTTCTAGTTTTGTTGGGGGATTGCCACGGAAAACTCGAATTTACAAGAAATTTCTTCACCTATCTATATTCTATTATGGCCGGCTTGGAGACAGTTGAACCGTTAAAATAAGAAAAAACCCAAAAACACACTACAAATCACTTTTTAAAAAAAACATGTTTCTTTCAAGCGTGCTTATGAAAGGAGCTTTGAAGCTATTGCCACCAATTTTGGTCTCCCTCTTATACCACTTTTCTATACAGTCAATTTCGTTGGCTCGGGATGGTGTGATCATTCGTTGTGTGTTTGCTATCAGTTTCGAGCAATTGTGTCTTGGTGCCAATTTTCAATGCAATGCATTTTCTCCCCTTAGAACCACGATTATTTCCCGTAACAATTTTTCATGTCAAATAATGTGTTCATGATACATTGTAGACAAAACATGAATTCCATCTATATACTGCATTACAAATACATCCTCGTGTTTTGTCCTGGACAGTTACTTGTTGGAATTCGATGACGACGAGGAAGATGGGTCGTCGACATTGCCCCAGAGAACAGTGCCCTTCCATAAAGTTGTAGCCTTGCCTGAAGGACTGCGCCAGTAAGCTGCGTGTATGTATAGTTGTGAATACTATATAAGCTTGTAAATCGTAGACCAAACATTATGCATGTCTTTAATTTTGAGAGATGATAATGGTGAAGAAACCCCATGATAATTATTGTTCCTCTAATGATGATTATCTCTTAAATTAACATCATTACGTATAATTTAGTATCGTTTATAAACTGTTTTGAAAAATATTTATAAATAAATTTGAGCATCCAAGATTCTTGCTGAAAGAACTAAACCCGAGAACACGCCTCAAATCATCACCGAACTCAAAAGTTTAAGGTTTTATTAAGTACTACTACAAAATACATGCTCAATATTAGTAATGGTGGAACTTCAATAATGCCTACCGAAAGATAGTAGTTCTAACTCCTATGGCAGGCTTTCGTGATTGGAATAGGAGGGCTTGATAACGAACCATTGAGAATGTGATTAGCCACAAAGTGATTAGCAGCCTCAGAGTAATGGACTCCATCCCAACTCACATACTGAGCTCTGTTTTCACAGGCATCTCCAAACACCAAGCTTCCATTTATGGGTGCTTTTGTCCCACACCACACATGGTCATACCTTACGTGGTACCCGCAGCACACCTTGAGCGGATTGGGAAACCCTGCAAAAGTTTGATATTTGAAATAGATGTCGAACGAAGATAAGTGTTAACTAGGAGCATGGTTCTTTTACCTCGTATAGAATCTCTATTGCCTTTGGAAATTTCTTTAGTGGCTCCTATATTCTAACCCCTCGTGTTCATGTTCGTGTTTCTTAAATGAATGCATTCAGTTAACTCTACGACGGGTTGATCCTTTTTGTCTCCACCCTTTTCAAGAGTCTAGACATGTTCTAACATAAAAGATAACACAATCCTATTGAATTTTAGATACCGTCTCGTAAAATTGCAAGGACCCCTTTTCGAGAAAAACCATGGATTAGCCTACTCAAGGCAGCAAACTCTCAATTCTTTGTTGTTGAGAGTTCCCTCAACATCGACAAAATGTATAGCAGAAAATGTTAATAATGAGTAAGAGATGGAAGAATAACCTTGAGTTTTGCCATTGCTGATAAGAGCATACTTGGCAGCATAGACATCCACATAGGTAATGGCAGCATCTGGGAGCTCTGCCCTAAGCTTCTCCAATTTTGCTTTGAGCTGATTATTTAACTCCATAGAGACATCATTTTGAGCCTTGATACAACCGTGCTCATCAAGGATGCCAGGGGCTGGGTTTAGAGTGTAAAATTGGTTCACTGGGAGGCAACCAAATGGCCCTGTATTGTGTATCCAAAATGATCTCCCTCCAAGCTTGTATATTCTCTGAAATTTATCAAATTTCACAAACATTTTCAGAAATAACAAAACAAAACCATGTTCTCTTCATCATTTTGAGCTTGTTTTGATTAACGGTATAAGTAGGTCGCTCCAGATTGATTCTTTTATTGGTCAAAACCTAACCCGAACTAACTTATCAGACACGTGGAAGAAAACAACACCAACCCCTTTTTAAAGCCGAGTTAAGTGTAAAAGCCCAAGCCCACCGCTAATAGATATTGTCCCTCAAGGTTTTTAACACGTGTCTACTAGGGAGAGGTTTCCACACCCTTATAAAGAATGTTTCATTCTCCTCCCCAAACGATGTGGAATCTCACATTAAGTGCCTAAAGAAATCGATCAAATTGAACCAATCGACTGTTTCTTCTAGTCTATACTTTAAGAACATGAACCAACCAACAAACCAAATTCGAACCGACCGAACTGAGTCAATATTAGGTTCAAAACATGTTTTGAGTAATTGTTTTCTAGATCTCATCTCCCTTCCTTTCTTCCCAAAAAAGACTTTTCTGATGCACTGCTTCAATTTTCAAGCTCGGTTTCTTATCAAAACGAAAGAAAAATGAAATCAGACAAGTTTTTGAAACAACTCTATAAAAGAAGTTTCCAAACTAAACAGCCCAAACACCATTATTATATACAGCAAATGACCAAATGGGTATCATTCAAACGCAATAGATGATAGACATATCAAGAATGGCAAGGAAACCGCTCTGTGAGAAAGTGGGTTTTCTTTTGCTTACTTGAACTGCAGAGGCAAACTGGTTAACGATTTCGGGCAACGCAGCACGAAGTTGATCGATGCTCAGCTTTCTAAACCCCATAGCTAAATCATTCTGCCCAATATCAAAAGTGTAGAGTGCTTTGGAGAAATCCTCTGGTCTTGTAAGTTTCTCTCTGTCAGATGGGTTCTTGGCTAAGAATCAATCATCAACAACAAAAAATTTCAGTATAGAAAAAATAAAACGTCAAACTACAAAATCAGGAAAGTGAACAGATAGATAATGTAACAGTCCAAGCCACCACTAACCACTAACCGCTTTCCATTTCAGGTTTCCCCTCAAGGATTTTGTAACGCGTTTGCTAAGGAGAGATTTCCACACCCTTATAAAGAATGTTTCGTTCTCCTCTCCAACCGATGTGGGATCTCACAATCCACCCCTCGTCGGGGCCCAGCGTCCTCGCTGGTACTAGTTCCCTTCTCCAACTGATGTGGGACCCCCCAATCCACCCCCTAAGGGGCCAGCATCTTTGCTGGCACACCGTCTCGTGCCACCCCCTCCAGGGCTCAGCCTCCTCGCTGACACATCACCCGGAGTTTAGCTTTGATACCATTTGTAATAGCCAAAGCCCACCGCTAGCAGATATTGTCTTGGTTTCCCCTCCGTTTTTAAATCGTATCAATTCTACTCTCCAACCAATGTGGGATCTCATAGATAAAATTGAATCCAACCAATGTGGAATCTCATAGATAAAATTGAAGGATAAGATCCAACAAAAATGGAAAAGATTCAGGTATGTTGGCTTAACATGCTTATTGGTCAAGAACTTGAACTAGATGTAATTGATAGGAATGCTAGTAGGATAGAAATGGGGAGATTAGCAGTCATAAGGATATGTTAGTAACTGGTTAAGGAGATTGTCGGTGGGAGTTTGATTACAAAAACAGTGAGTGAAAAAAGAAGAGTTTCATGGCCTAAATTTAGGATGAACTAAAGATTGAAGTTAAGAGATTTTGAAACCTTGGTTGTAGAGATCATTGGAGCGAGCTTTGAACTGTTCGAACTGAGTAACCTGCATGTCAAGGAAAAATGGACTAATTCCATATTCATAAATGGTTTCATTCGGCTTCCGTACAGTCGATCCGCCGGTGGCGAAATTGGCGCCGTGCCGGAAATTAGCGCCAAGCGAATTCAGATAAGCACTCAAATACGGCAATCTCAATCTCTCGGCTGCAATATCAGAAACCCGAAATTAACATCAATATCAACGATCCTGGCGGTAAACTAAGAGAGATAACCGCAATGTTACGTCACTTACCAATGAAATCGATGATCAGACGGCCGTCGCTATCCCTTCCGGATGGCTTGTTGAAGAATACATCTCCATATGGCCATCGGATGGGCTCGAAAGCAGCGGAAATGGCGCCGGTGTCGGAGTTCGAATCGCCGAAGTTGAAAACTACCGGAAAATCACAATCGGGTAAAGCCAACGCAAATGTAACCTGCAAAACCAAAAATGCAAACACTACCATCGCCGGAAACTCCATTTCCGTTCCGCAAATGCTTCCGACGGCGGTTTTCGAGATTCAGGAAGAAGGTTTTTCAAATTTCGCAATGTGCTTAGTATGTTTCACACTTATACATCACTTCCACTGAGTGAGAGCTTCACATTTGCCTCTCTCTCTCTCTCTACATTATCTTCTTCGGAGGTCCGCGGCCATGGCCAGAGCTTCAGCAGTACCGAGGGAATAAACTTTTTTTTACGATGTCGGTGCGAGTGGAAATGATTGGGTGAATTGGGACCGTTCGATCGCGATAGCAATCGTGATCGTGCGGCTGTGATGAAGTTGGCAAATCGAGGCGAATAGTTTCGTTTCCATGTGAATATAATTAAACGGGGGCAACCCTTGTCGTTTCTGGACAATCATATCACCGTAAATCTCCCTGTGTTTTCTATATATATATATATATAGAAACACCTTTAAAAATATATTTAAACTTTTAATAAAAATTTAAATATATATTTATTATTAATTTTAGACGAGATAATTAAATTTGTATAAAAAATATTCGGTCTACTTTGAACATAAGCTCTCGTAACTCTATTTTAGACTTTCCAACAGGCGAGATAATATATTTTTTTTATTATAAATCCATGAATATTCCCTATATTAGCGGTTGTTCAACCAACTTGGATAATTCAACTTAAATTGGATTGATTGAATGGTTTTTACCACCAAATTCTTTTAACACGTCCCAAAAGTAACCTACAATATATTGTTTAGGTAAAGTATTACAATTAAAACACGGGTAAATGTTAAAACCTAAACTTACCACACGTAAAAATGTTATAATATGTTGAGAAGTAAACTATCCTGAAGTTACACCGTCGAATATGCGTGTTGTAAATAAGACGATCTTAGCCGTCGAAACCTAATCAGACGGTAGGATATCAACGACAAGCATGCGTGATGGGAACTTGGGGGTCGGAGAAGGAGCCTTTGATAATCTGATTGGCGATCCAACGGTTAGCAGCCTCGGTATAATGGACCCCATCCCAGCTGATAAATCTGGAAGGATCATCACAAGATCCAGCGTACACTTGGCTGCCATTGATGATCTTCTGGTTCCCGCACCACACGTGATCATTGCCCTCGTGATACCCACAACATATTGCCCCCATCTCCATAAACCCTAATTATTTAAACAATTATACGCCATCGGTTAAAAAATAACTTAGCCCCGATTTATTAAAATTAAAAATAAATAAATAAAAATACAAGAGAGAAAATTAAGTAGGAGGGTTAAAATAATAATTTAACATCGAATATTTAGTTTCAAAATATTTTGTGATTTTTAAATTTTAAATTTTATTAAATACAAAATTAAAAAATTAAAATAAATAACTAAAAACTACCTTCTTCCTTTGCATTGGCTATGAGTTGGAGCTTAGCTGCAAACACATCCACGTAGACGAGAGAAGCATCTGAGAGTTTTGCTCTTAGTTGAATGACTCGTTCTTTAAGCTGTCTGTTGAACTCCAAAGCGGCGTCGTTTTGGTACTTAACGCAGCCGTTTTGGTCAAGATCTCCGTGGACTGTGGTGCGAATCGCCACTGGAATGCAGCCTATGGGCCCTGTGTTGTGTACCCAAAATGCCCTTGCTCCTTCTCTATATAACTCCTATTAATTGGAAAATTAAAAATTAAAAATTAAAATTTATTCTTATTTTATTTTTATATCAATAAAATTTCATAAATAGTCAATAAAACTTCGTAAACATTCAGATAAATTCTAATTTATAAATTCCGTAAATTAAATTATAAATTTTTTATTTAACATTAAAAAAGTGATCAATTTTATCTATTTAAATAAATAATGTTGATTTTATAATTTTTTTCCCCTTAAATCTATAGGTTAGTTTAATGTTGTCAAAGAGGAGAGGAACAAATAAATTATTTGAATTTAAACATAAAATGATTTGAAAATAAGCGACTTACTTCAATGGCGGCGTCAAATTCTCCAATGATATTAGGAATTGCCATTTGAAATTGGTAGTTTGTCATTTTTCGAAATCCAGCCGAGAGATCGTTCTGACCAATATCAATGGTGAAAAGAGCGTTGGAGAACTCTTCTGGTACCGGAAGAGTGCTTCTAATAAAGTCATTTGTTTCTGTCGTACAAACTTATTAATTATTAAGAATAGTTACAAATAAAAATAAGACGATAAGGAAACTTTACCTTCATGATATCGATCGATAGTACGATTTTTGAACTGACGAAATTGGACGACTTGAATATCGAGTGAAAATGGGCTGACTCCATTCTCAAACACCGATTCGTTTTGATTCCGAATTGTGGAACCACCCGTTGCAAAGTTCGCACCGTGTCGAAAATTCGCTCCAATTGAATTCAAGTATGCACTCAAGTAAGGTAACTCTAGATGCTTTGCTGCAAAATTCAAAATATAATAAATGTAAGTTAAAAAATAATTTATTTTAAAAAGTGTAATGACAAGACACACCGCTAGTAGATATTGTCTTCTACGTGTATGGGAAAATTTCCACACACTTTAAAGTATTTCATTCTCTTCCCCAAACATCGTCCGATATCAGAATTTATTATTTAAAAAAAAATTAAAAAGATTAAACGTTATTATATAGTCCATTTTCATTATATATTATTAAATTAAGAATTAAATTTCAAAAAAACAAAAATTTGAATAAAATAAGTTCATTTAAATAAAACTTGGATTAAATAAATATAAATAATAAAATAGCAATAAATTAGCGTCTTAAAACGAATTAAAAAAAAATATATATATATATATATATATATATAACCAAGGAAATCGATGATGAGGCGGCCGTCGCAGCCTCGACCGGCGGTTTTATGGAAGAACGTCTCGCCGCAGGGCAAAATGGTAGGGTAAAACGCGGCGGAGATTCCGCCGGTATCGGAATTGGAATCGCCGAAATTGTAAATCGCCGGAAAACCGCAAGCTCTTGAATCCGCCATTGAAATCAGAATGGAAGCTACTGTAAAAAAAGCCATTGGAATCTTCATCGTCATTGAAGGAACTCAAAATCCAAGAAGAAGAAGAAGATGAAGAAGAAGGAAAAACAGAGCCGATATCCTTTTTCTTTGCCGGTTCAATCGAATTGTTTATTTGGTGCATTTTTTCATGCTTCAATTTTATTTTAATTTATAAACATTTTTTTAATAACAAAAATAAAATAAACATTGTCACCATGATTCTCGGCTTGAATTTTGAAAAGGGCAACAGCTAAAAAATCTATGCCATTAAATGTATTTAGTTAAAGCTTTCCACCAAAAGTATATTTTGCGAGATTAGTCCTTAATCTTTCACGTATTTACTTATAGGTCTTTAAATTAAAAAAAAGAATAATTTTTTTTTTAATATTTTAGCTCTAATAGATTTCTAATTAACAACACGTAATGATTTCAATTTTGTATTTTGTATTTAATATTGAAGTTTTTTTTTATATAAATCTCATAAATATATACATATTAAAATAATCCATAAAAATATTAAACCCTAAATTGGAACATTTTGTAATAAAAAATAGTAAATAAAACGGCTTTTTTTTATTTATTTTAAAATTAGATCATTACCTCTAATTTATTTATTTATTGTTGTTTTTTTTTTCGTTGCAAAATTTAAAGTAAGAAAAATTTAAACCTCTAATAAAAAATAATAGTGCGCGCACGCGCGTATATATATATATACATACATATACATATATATATATATATATATATATATATATATATATATTATTAGCTCCACCATGGGGAACTTGGTTTAATGATTATAAATGTGACATTTATATAGTAAGTATGCTCCTATAAATGTGTCACATTGGGAGACAAAGTAAGTGCTCATTTTCAAATAGTGGGACGAGTGCATCCCATGCTTTCTAAGTGGATAGTTTAGGTCTTCAAAATAGTGGGTTAAAATTAGTGCCCTTAGTGCTTGTCTCGAAAAGCACTCGATGATATATGGATTGGATCAGCTCGAGAACCTAAACAAGGCACAAATTTGTATTAGGGTTCTCGGGTCTCTTCTGTGTAAGTCGAGCTTCTGGGTATTTTTTTTTTTATTGAAAGTCGAAGATTGAGAGGTCACTGTTTAGGTATACAATAATAATTTTATAAGACTCGAACTCACGACCTTATGAGGAAGTAGAGACACCTTAACTATCTAGTTATATATTTAGGTGGGCTATAAAATGATTTTCTATTGATTCTCAAGAGTAGTTCGACATGTCTTTTGTTCAATTATTTTTATGAGATTTCACATCAGTTGGAGAGGATAACGAAACATTCTTTATAGGAGTATAGAAACCTCTCCCGCGTAGACGCGTTTTAGAATCGTGAGGCTGACACCGAAATTTATGAAAATTATTATTATTATTATTATTGTAGTTCATTCAACGTACTTAATGTTTAAATAAGTTAAAAAAATGTTTATGTCAACTTATTCCTATAGTACATTTTGGGGCATTTTTGCCCAAGCGGGTGTAGACGCGATTCTGGTGAACGGTCATACACCCCCGTATTGACCCGATATGAAATAGTAAAGACCTATCTAAGATGAAGTCATGAAAAAGGGGTTTGGAACAGACACGCAACCATAGACAACATGGCTTGGACAAGCATAACCGTGACATCCTCCCCCACTCAATTAGTTGACGTCCTTGTCAACCGATTCGAACAAGCAAGATTGAGACATCTATCATGCAGCCATAAGTACTTTGAAAAATGTGCGTTTTAAAAATTAATATTTTTTAAAATTTTTGTGTCAAGTAAATTTTAAAATTTTAAAATTGTCTAATAAATAATGTAAACTCTCAAATTTTGTGTTTAAATATATATATATATATATAATTTAAAATATATTAAGATTACATGAAACTATTAGACATTCAAACTAAATAAATGAAAAAAAAAAAAAGTTAATTAATTAAATTATCATTTAACTAAATTAATATTCCAAGAAAATAATTCAGGAAAAATAACATAGTTTTCTAAACCGCCCTAATTGAGCAAAACCCCGACCCACAAGATTTTTCTCCATAACCGTACGACAAAATCAAACCTCTATCAATGGCGACGAGAACTGGCGAGGAGAGGGCGGCGCCGAAGGTGGAAGGGGCTGACCTTCTGGGGAAACCGACCTTCGCAGAGCTCGACAATGGCCGCTTCCGGTGCGTCGAGACTGGCCACGAGGTCCTCGCCAAGGATAAGGACTCCTACTCTCGTACCAAGCGCTGCCGTCTTGGCCTCATCGATTTCGCTTTGTCCCATCGAAAAGCTCCTCTCAATATGTTCGAGCTTGATCCTCTCTCCCGGTAATCTAAACTTCCTTTTTAGATGCACATACAATTCGTCATCATACATGTAGATGAAATATATGGAAGCTTTAGCTCAGTGATCCTGTTTGATTTCTTGGATACTGTGGAAATTCATAGAAATTATATTGAAATAGAGCTTCTATTTGATGGATTGCAGCCTGATGATTGAAAATGCTAGGATGAAATTGAAGTCGCATAGAGTAGTATTTATTTGGTTGCTATTGTCTTGTAATGAGCGCTGTTATTTGAGCTCGATTAATGTTTTAAGTTGGTGACTTGGGTCTTTTTGAGTATGAATTTGTCGTTTCTTGGTATCTAAGTTGTAGTTATTTGGTTATTTTCGGATGATTTTTGCTCTTTCTCTTGCACTTGCAGTTATTTCACGTTAAGTTGGAAATTGGCTTTTTTTTTGCAGTTCGAAGCTGAAATGCAAATTGACTGGTGATACTATCAACAAAACAGAGGAACATATATGGAAGCACATTAACGGCAAACGTTTCCTCAACAAATTAGGTTTGTACTTCTCAGTCTACATGGATTGTTTATGTTAATCCTTTATCTTATCGATTATGTGGTCTTAGCAAGTTTGTATTTTCATTGTAGAGCAAAAGGAGTTTGAGAAAGATTCAATGGCTAAATCAGGAGAGCAGAAAGGCAAGAAGAAGGCCGCTAAGGCTTTGAAACATAGTACAGAAAATTCAAAGAAGAATAAGAAGGAACTAGAGAAGATTATTTCTGAAGCTCGTGAATCGAATGGGGGTAGTGATGCAGAGGATGTCTTCTGGATGCCTCCAGCAGGGCAACGCTGGGATAACGACAATGGAGGAGACAGATGGGGTTCTGAATCAGATTCAGAGCATGAAAGTGATAAAATCAATGCTAAAGGTAGGTTTGTCTAATTTTCAAACTTGACATTATATTTACGTTTGCATTTCATTTAAATCACAAGGGTGCTAGGGAGAAATGTAGTAGGTCATTGAATGCAAAATCTAGAATGAGTTGGGTAGCATGACATCAAGTGTGAGCCTAATGTACATTAGAATGGTTTAAAACTTTGTGACTACTCTGTCACTACTTTCTAAGTAAGGCAGGGAGTTAGGTTGGTGTAAATGGTTGTGTTAGAGGGATCTTGGGAGTTCTTTCTTGGGTTTGATTTTTGGCTCGTGGGATTTGGTTTGGGTTTGGGTTGCTTGTCTTTGGCTGTTTGGGTATCTCCCATGCATTTAAAAGGCAGGAACATGGTGTTTAGAAAGGAAGTCAAAGAATAATTGACAGAGGATCTGATATAGCTCTGTGATTCAACCATTTAAAAATTTGTTCAAGTTACCTGTGGGTTGTCAATGCTTAAATTTATTGGGTATTGGTGGAGTTCTTTGGTGATTTTAAAGATTTCTTCCTCCTTATATGGATGGAAAGCTATGTTTTTATTTCTATCACTTACTTTGGGTAGTGAATGTGTTAGTCTTATGTACAGTTTGGTGAAGTTTTTTGTATCTCACTGGTAATTTTTCATTTTATCAAAGGAAGCGTATCCTTTCTTGTCAGAAAAGGAAAAAGGAAAAAGGAAAATAGAATGCGAAGCATCCACATAATAATGATACCACCAATGGTTCTTCAAGAGTTTAGAGAGCACTAACCAATCCTTTTGGACTCTTAAGAGATTTTATTAACTGTCTATTACATGATGAGACTTTGGTTGCTTCCAAGGCAACTGTGACTGGGCTGGCTTGGTAGTACCTTTGATGATGCTCCATAGCATTTTGCTATTGACGTTCCAGCTTACGATCCTGATAAAGCATTAAGGGACCCCTGTAATTCTCTTAAAGCATGGTTGCTCCCAAGTCGTATCATATATTTCTAGCTGTTGGAAAGCTTGGGCTATTTCTCCACTATTTGTTGTTTCTTGTTATAGGGAGGTGTGCTCTCCTGTCCAATTTTTTCAGCTTGGAAGTGAGTTTGTCCTTAGTCTACTTCCTCTTCTGCATTGGCCGCCACTTTGGAAAGGATGATTTTCAATTGCATGATTTCTCTGTTGGTTGAGAAGAATTGTGTCGTTCTGTTATACCCATAGGTCAAAAAAGAAAGAAAGAAAGAAAGAAAGAAAGAAAGAAAGAAAGAAAGAAAGAAAGAAAGAAAGAAAGAAAGAAAGGAAGAAAGAAAGAAAGGAAATGCGTCTGATGCAGCTCTGCTCGCTGCTCGCCACCGGCAAATACAAACGGGTCAGTCGGCAAAAGACAGGGCTGATCCGCGTGGTTTCGAGGCCATTTTGAAGTAGAGAGGGACGAGGGTCGATTTAAGGTAGTGGCCGAGTTCGTGGAGGGGGTTCGAAAGGCGGGTTGTTACAGTTTGGTATCAGAGTTTTAGGTTGATAGGTTCTATAGACTATCTAGATAGAGAGTCTTAGAGTTCTCCATAGCCCAGCTCAACTACGTCATGCCGTGGTCAGGTAAGCAAAGCTAACATGAGTAGTTTAGATCTTTTAGTGAGCTGAATTGGCTGACTGATACAATGCTAAGTTTGAAGTTTATGTAACGCATGATGAGGTGTTGAGAAATGTGGGGAATAAATCTTAATCTAAGATTTGTGATTTGACAAAAATGGCACCCAAAGCTAGAGGCGGTATTTGCAATCGTCGTACGGGTGGTGGCAGAACACATGCTACCGATGTTCCTTCTCAAGAGACGCCTGAGATAGAGACAACCCAAGTCCTTATGCCAGACACAGCGACACCCCCATCACGCACCATGGTGACGATGTCTGTAGAAGAGCTGCA